GAGTATCATCCGTATTAAGGAGCATCAACGTTAACTGAATATAGTGACGCAGCTATCGTAAGAGTACTAAGCCCTCCAGCACACACCCAGCACAGCCCCCCCCCACGCACACACACCCAGGCACAGCCCCCAGCCACCACACCCCACACAGCCCCCAGCACTCACCAGCACACCCCCCAGCAAAACACCCAGCACAGCCCCACCAGCACACACCCAGCACAGCCCCCCCCAGCACAGCACCCCCAGCACAGCCCCAGCACACACCCAGCACAGCCCCCAGCACCCCAGCACAGCCCCCCAGCACACACCCTACACAGCCCCCCAGCACACACCCAGCACAGCCCCCCAGCACACACCCAGCACAGCCCCAGCACAGCACCCCCAGCACACACCCAGCACAGCCCCAGCACAGCACCCCCAGCACAGCCCCCCCCAGCACAGCCCCCCAGCACACACCCAGCACAGCCCCCCAGCACACACCCAGCACAGCCCCCCAGCACACACCCAGCACAGCCCCCCCAGCACACACCCAGCACAGCCCCCCCAGCCACACCACCCAGCACACCCCCCCCAGTACAGCCCACACCCCAGCACAGCCCCCCCCAGCACACACCCAGCACACCCCCCACCACAGCCACAGCCCCCAGCACACCCCCAGCACAGCCCCCCAGCACACACCCAGCACAGCCCCCCCAGCACACACCCAGCACAGCCCCCCAGCACACACCCAGCACAGCCCCACCAGCACAGCCCCCCCCCAGCACAGCCCCCCCAGCACACACCCAGCACAGCCCCACCAGCACACACCCAGCACACACAGCCCCCAGCACACCCAGCACAGCCCCCCCAGCACACACCCAGCACAGCCACACACACCCAGCACAACCCCCCCAGCACACACCCAGCACAGCCCCCCCAGCACACACCCAGCGTAGCCCCCCCAGCACACACCCAGCACCCTCCCAGCAACTCCAACACAGCCCCCCCCCCCCCCCCAACAACAACAAGATTACCTTTGTATAGCACCTTTCACGTCAGGAGGACATCCCAAGGCGCTGGACACAGTACAGCATTTCAGACCCGAGCTGGGGTCAGGTGGGGGGAAGGGAGGGGAGGGGAAGGGGGGTGGCCGATGGCATGGTCGAAGAGGAGGGTCTTGAGGCGAGACTTGAAGGAGGCTAAGGAGGGGGTGAGGTGGAGTGACTGGGGGATGGAATA